TTTACTTTTGTGTATGTTTGAAATTTTCTACAACAAAAAGTATTTTAAAAAAATGACACACCTCTTAAAAAATTTACTTAGAGGGCATGTTAGAATTGAAAGATAGTATTACATGCCAATAATGGAAGATCACTATAAAAATAAATTCAATGAAGCAGAGCAATGTTATTAAACCCTAGTTCTCTAACCCTCTGAATCTGAAGTCACTTTCCCATTGTTGTAAGTGCTAAGAAATGTGTTTAAGACATTTCAAGAAAATCGAGGTGTGGAAATTTACTTCTAGAGGTAACCTAATGGCTAGGAAGACAATTGACGAAAGGAATACTTTCTCACCATATACAACCACGGGCTCCAATGTTATTTCGTGCTCTGTCTGCCTGGGTACCACCCAAAACCTTCTGGGGGGGTACTGCCAGGGTTCCAAGGAACCTCACTTTGAGAAATAGTGATATAATATCATTGGCTTTTGACACTGGGCAGGATAATGGCAGTTCTTTCATTGCATTGCGTGGAGCACATTCTTTCATCACCAACTCTTCCATTTCTCCATTTCCATCACTAACTACGTTCTCTGGTCTTCAGCCTCTTCCTTGAGTATACCCAACTCTTTTCCAATACACATGACACAGACTGAATCCTCTTACCGCTCTGAGACTCAGTTTCCAAATCTGCAAGATTCAGACAATGATAGCTCCTTTCTCATAGAGTTGTTGCAAGGATTAGAGGTGATAATGTTTATCAAGGTTTTAGCACAAGTGGTGACTAGAACATGGAACATAGTAACAAATACTTGATACGTGTAGCTATTACTATTACCTGTGACAGCAATGAATCTATTTGTCTTGTAGACTCTTGGGAACCACACAACCAGGGAAGGAGGATTCCTCGCTTATCTTTGTTAGTCCAGGGCCATTTGAGGCAGTTTATATCTATATTCTAGGAGAGAAATGGACAATAAACAGCAAAAGTGGGATTCAGATTAGATACAAGGTAGTACTTTCAAGAAGTGAGGATTAGTAAACCCTGAATAGTACAATCATTGTTTTCTCCCCGAAAGTCTCTATGAAGAAATACAGAATCTTGTAATTTGAATAGTCTAGCATGATCCTGTTTAAAGGCACAAAGACAGATGAATGGGTCTCATTATCGTATTTCCCATTATCTCAGTAATTATTGGGATCATTCACTGTTCACTGGACTTTTGGAAATGGGTACGGACTGTCAAGTACCCTGATGTCCCTTGATGCTGGTGGATAATGATTAGCCATATTGCACTCAGAGAAGCCTTGGACACAGAGAGAGTAAGGGGTTTACCTAGGGTAACGCAGCAATGTCAGTGAGGTGGAATTTGAATTGCCTCAGGAAGAGGGGTAGCTGTTTTTCTGAGGAGGAGGTCCTGCCTCTTTGGATCATTAGGGAAAAGGATACATAAGAATCTCTTTAGCTCCTGCTCTTGAGTGCCTGCATTTGCAAATCCTAGAATCACTTCTCCCTCGTCTCCCATTTTACTAATGAAAGAACAATACCAGTCAAGTAAAGAAGCACCCTCTAGATGTGGATGGCAAATTGGTTTTATGTGGAATACCAACTGCCACCAATTAGTGGTGGCTATCTAAAGAATGTGTTGAGAAGGATTCTGAGGTCATGTCCCAGAAAGAGTGCTGTGATGGACTAGCGATGTCTGCCACTGGCATAGCACAGAGGACAAGCAGCAATTGTGCCACATGTTTGTATCACTAACCAGCATATTGATAGGTCTCAGTTTATGAGGTGGGCTGCTTGCACCTGAGAAGACAGAGAGCAATACTCAGAGGAAATTAGAACAAGATGGTTATATTCTGATAAACTGATGGAAGAACTGGAGTTTGGGTCATATTAGAGAAGCCAGACCTAAAGACTAAGTCACACGTGGTACAATTGCTGCCTACCTCTGTACTTTGCTGGTGGCAGACATCACTAATCCATCACGGCACTCTTTGTGGGAAAAGACCTCAGAATCCTCCTCAACACACGTTCTTTATTTTATTATTACTTTTTTTTTTTTTTTGAGGAAGATTAGCCCTGACCTAACATCTGCTGCTAATCCTCCTCTTTTTGCTGAGGAAGACTGGCGTTGAGCTAACATCCGTGCCCATCTTCCTCTACTTTCTATGTGGGATGCCTACCACAGCATGGCTTGCCAAGTGGTGCCACGTCCGCACCCAGGATCCAAACCGGCAAACCCGGTCTGCCGAAGCAGAACGTGTGAACTTAACCGCTGTGCCACTGGGCCGGCCCTCAACACACTATCTTTAGATAGCCGCTACTAATTGGTTGGAGTTGGCCTTCTAGACTTGATGAGGTGGAAAGAAGACAAATGTTAGGCAATGGGGATCCAGAAGGTGAATTAGAGTGACAATTCCAACAACATCAGCAATAATAGCTACCATTTAATGGGCGTTTGCTATGAACTGGACACTGTGCTGAGTCCTTTACAGGAAATATTTCATTTAATCCTCACAACCGCCATATGAAGTGTGCACTAATATCTCCATTTTGCAGATGGGGAAACTGAGGCAGAGGTTAGTGACTAGCCCAAGGTCATCCAGCTAAAAAGTGGCAGAGCTGGGCTTCATACCCTAGTTCTGTCTGACTCCAGAGGCTGTGCTCTTAACCATGCAAATAATAACTATTTTTTAGTAAACTATGTTCCAAACACTGTCCTATGACCTGTACATGCATTAATTCCTCTCATCCTTACAGCTAGTCCATTTGAGCACATGATGTTTAATCTTTATAGAATCTTCATATTACTGATGGAGAAACTGAGGCCCAGGATCACACAGTTAGGAAGTGGCAGAGCTGGAATTCGAACCCAGGCAGTCTGGCTTTGAGGCCCTGAATTTATCACCCAAGTCTCCTGATTTAGAAGTCGCAACACCTGTGCTTCTCAGTGGGCGACTCACGGGTATTGAACAGTTTTCATTCACACAGCCCCGCCCTGGAATGCCGCGTGTCCCAAGGACCCCTTCCTCCAAGCTAAAACAGAAACTGTATTTTTCACAGACTTCTTTGCTCCCTACAGATCACCTTGGGGAGTCGCTTGACCATCCTACACCTCAAGTTCCTCACCTTTAAAAGGGAGTAAGAGCTTCCCCTCCAGCCTCACCTGGCTGCTGGCTACCGTTCTGGGATCAAAAGAGGCAATGCTATGCAAGTAGAAACTTTATCAACATTCTAGAAACTTAGAACAGGAACAGGCTGGGTGGGTAGGATCGCCTCTTGTGGGGGGATAGGATCCCAGCTACCTCTCCCCTTCAGGTGACTCAGTTCAGACCCCAAATGTCATAACTAAGGGTGGTTTTAAATATCCCAGGCTCTGCTGGCCTGTTAGGGAAGCGGTTAAATTCACGTGCTGGGCTTCGGCAGCCCAGGGTTCTGCTGGTTCGTGTCCTGGGCGCGGACTTACACACCGCTCATTAAGCCATGCTGAGATGTGTCCACAAAGAAAAACTAGAAGGGCCTACAACTATGCACTGGGGCTTTGGGGAGAAAAATAAATAAATAAACATTCCAGGCTACTTAAGGAGCCAGCTCTCAATGAATTTAAAATGACATTGATTTCAGGGTTGGAAATAGAGCCTAAGAGTGATAGCAGAGTGGTGCATTTCTGGCGGACGGGAGGGAAGTGGGCAGAGAAGTCTAGTCTCCACTTTCCTCCACCTCCTGGCAGGGGCAACCGGCTTTAAGAAGCCCGCAAATGCATCTCTAGTTGTCGACCAGAAGGGGTCACTACAGAGCGAGCGGCGTTCTCAGACACTCGCAGAAGCAAGCTCGCAGGTATCCAAACGCGTAGACACGTGTCCAAACGTACATAGGCTTCTGGACCCGATACTTGGTCACTCCATGGTTCTTCCTTCCTTCTCCTCCCCCATCTTGTTCTCTCTGCCTTCCTCCTCCCCTTTCGCTCTCATTCCCCTCCTCTTCCCTTTCAAAAAATTTCTGAAGTTCACATTGGTGCCCCGTCCCTTGGTCCCCACCGCTATCAGCATTAGCGAGAAGCATGGGTTTATTCCCGCTGTGGCCGAGGCCCGGTGCCAGGCGCTTGGAGGTCCTTAAGACTTGGCGAGGGCTCCTTCCGGGAATTTCCAGCTTGGGGAGTGGGAGTAGCAACTCTGCTGAGATTAAAGGGCTCCAAGGGAGCGACGGGCTGAGGGTCCTGCAACTAACTCTTTTTCTTAATGAAAACCCTGGGGATGAAACTAGAGAAATTCTGCCCAGACCCTCTGCGTCTAGGGCTTATTGGTGATTCTAAACTTTCACTTTCTGGGATTAGGGTTGAACTGGGAGGGCGTAGAAAATGGGAAGAGAGACCAAAAAGTATCTATCCTTCTGTAATCCTCAGAATCCCCTGCAAATCCCTCCGGAGAAGCGCTTTTCTTTTCCAAAACGGACTCCTCTCCCGAGATGAGCTGCGTTAAGAAAAGTGGTTGCGGTCAAATTCCCCAGGAGTGGATGGGGTGGGGTGAGATGGGGGGAGTGGGGGGTCTCTTTCCTTTGGACGGGTTTGGCAGCGAGGACCCGGGGCTGGCTGGCTGTGAGGCACAAAAGAAATACCTCTTACAGCGCCGCGTGCACAGATGTAGCGCTGCGCCCCTCTGCGGGCGAGGACCCGGCTCGGCAGATGGCGAGAAGCCGAACTGGTGATGGATTGTCCATCAAATGGCACTTTCTGGGTGGTGGGGATCTCTCGGAGCCCAGGCACAAAGAGGAATGCAGGGGACCCCCTTTGCTGGTGTAGGCAGTCCCTCCCAGAAGTGGGGGGGTGCGGGGTGGGGGGGCAGATTGGCATGGGCGGATAGGTTAAGTTTTTTACTTCTCCCCCTCTGTAGAAGATCTGTTACAAGACTTGCATAGGGGCTGGGCGGGGGGAGTCGGCCGGGTCCAGAGGGCACGCAGGGAGGGGTGGAAGAAGGCCGGCGATGGTGGGGGAGGAGAGCGGGCTAGGAAGCAGGATCTCCTGCCTGGTTCCGATCGGGGTGCGGGGATTGCTTCTTTAAGGGGTCAGCGCTGCAACTCCGTCGCCGCGGGGCCCTGGTGACAGGCGCACGCCCCGCCCTTTCTCCTCCCAAGACCTGCGGGCTTTTGTTATGCAGATGGCGGCAGGAGGCAGAGCCGGAGGAGGAGGGAGTTGGTGGCGAGGAGGAGAGACGGAGAGGGGGGAGGAAAGTGCAGCTCGCGCGACCAGCCTCCTCTTCCAACGTCACATTGTGCGAGAGACAAAACCCGGGCGCGCCTGAGCTCACACGCGCACGCACACACAGACGACCCCGTCGCCTCTTCTCTCCCGGCGCTGCCCTGAAAGCCAGCCCTGCCTTCCTTTCCTGGGGCGCGGAGGCTCAGCAAGCTCAGAGCGCAGACCAGAGCCAACCCAGAGGGCGAAGAAAGCCGGCGGACAAGCCTTCTTTCTCCCCTGCCTTCCCCTGGCTGAGGCGCCCCATCCCCCGCCCTGAACCCCGATCTCTCGCACCGCACCCCTCTGGGTGTGACACGGACAAGGCCCGGAGCCGGGTGTGCCCCCGGTTGGAATCCGCGTTTCAGCACTTCGGACAGCGCCCGAGCGCCCTGGCCCCTTCGGGTTGGCTATGGCGAGCGTTCAGCAAGGCGAGAAGCAGCTTTTTGAGAAGTTCTGGCGAGGAACCTTTAAAGCTGTGGCCACCCCGCGTCCCGAGAGCATCATTGTAGCCAGCATCACGGCCCGCAAGCCGCTGCCAAGGTAATGACCTCCTTCTTAAGAGGGGACACCCTGATGGTTCCCCTTTCTGGCCTGTGCCCCAGAGCCCTCAGGATTGGATGCAGGCAGCTGGGCCAGGGCGCCTGTCTTTTCTCGTCACTACTCGGTATCTCCCGCTGGAACATGGGAACTAATTGCTTATAGGAGGTGGAAGCTGGTGAGAAGGGCCAGGGAGTCCTTAGGAGGAGCAACACTCAGTGGTCTGCTGACCTGGCAGCTTCCATTCAAGAGGTTTTTTACTTTCTTAGAGTGGGCGGTGTAGGTGGGATACAACTTGATGGAGAAACTTTTCTTGGTATCACAGAGCTCAGAGGACAGGGGCAAGAAGGAATGGTGGATTTGAGGTGGTTAGGAGTGTCGTGAAAGAAGAGAAGATGAGATTTGAACCAGCTCAAGCAGTATTCAGAGATAGTGGCACATTCTATACTCAGCTCAGAAACTAGCGAGCTCTGAACATTTTCACAAAAGCCCATATGCTGTTCTCTCAAATACAGCCTAAACAGCACCCTCCTCCACGCCTTTCTGGCTGCTGCTGCTGCTGCTGAATTCTCTCCTCTCCAGCCTCCAAAACCTGGACTCCGAGCTCAAAAGTCAGGGAGGAGCCTTCCAAGATCTTGAAGATGGTCTTGGAAGAGTTTTATTTGGCTTTTCAAAAAGGACTTGATTGCTTTGAACTCAGGGATGACAACAGATCCTTAGATGGTGGAAATAGTGTGATAGGCGAGAATAAGGAAAGAAGTGAAGGAAAGGCAGAAAGAGGGAGAAGAGGATGTGGGCTGAGACAGAGAGGAGGTTGGGGAAAACAGAAGCATTCCAAAACAGAGAAAACTCAATTCTCTTTATAAATCATCCAATTTAGAGGAGTTTGAGAATGAAAGGAACAAGGCTGTGCCCTCTGTCAGGGAAAATCAAGGCGGTATGAAAACTCATCTTTTGCTGGTGTTGGATGAGTGGTTCCGTGAGAGAAAAAGAAAGAAGTGGACCAGGGGAGACGACGTGGAGGATTTATTAATCCTGGCAGGCTACATTAGGGAGTAGATTGAAAACATGTCTGGGAAAGTGCTTCGGACAGGATGCCTGTTCTGGCACAACTGAATCTGAACTTTGCAGAGGGTGTGGGGTGGACGACAGGGCATCATATCTAAAGAATCAAACTCAGACTGGAGAACTTTTCGCAGTCTGATAGGGTCTTCGCTCATACAGTTCTTTAGAAAAATGGGTGCCCCATGCTGGGAATGGGTGGACTAGAAACATGGTGGGCACAAGCGTCAGCAGCAACCAGTATTTGTGGGGGTGGGGGGAACCTTCTGACATAGGCTGGAGAAGAAGAACAATAACACCAAATGCTGTCAAAAGCTGAGGTTTCTGTGCTTTGTAGAGAGTTTTGACATCAGCAGTTTTATCTTCCTGGGTTTCTGCCATCCATTCCACCTCCGGAGTGCACCTACTGTTGGCAAAGCATGTGTTGGCCAAAGAATGTGCCCTTGTGGAAGAGACCAAAGGGAATTTCACTGGAAACCAGAAGTGTGGCATTTGGTCCAGAGTCTTCCATGTATTTCAGGGGTACAGGGAGAGGAGAGAAGATTCCTGGTAGTATTTTAATTCAGAAAATGCCTAATGGCCACCTAGCTTGGTATCTTCACCCTTTGCCTGTCACTCTGTTACTGCTGTGCCCTTTTCTTGGTCATGTTCTCAATCATATGAATTGCCCACAGTGTCTCCCAACTCTCATGCTTTCTGTAGCATTATAAAAATCCTAATTTAATCCATCTGAGACCCATAATAACCAACCCTTCCTACCCAGGTGTCATTTCACTCTCGGTGCCTTTTAATGTCCTGGGTCTCCTTTGCCCTGGAAACCACTCCTGAGGTGAAAGTCTGAGCCATAAACCCCTAATTTATGTCATGCTGGAAGGATTCTCTTCAATACTTCTCTACTGTGGCTTCTTTGTAGAATAGATTCCAGTTTTATAGCTGTTACTCCTGGTTTGGGGTGGAGAGTGAGCAGGGAGTATTTGTATTCAACTCTTCAGGAAAGGCTGGGATTGAGTTGTCTTTTAACAGACTGTCTATAAAACTCAAATCATCTTCATTCTCATCCATGCCAGCCACATCCAGTGATGGTCAATTTCCACCTCCTTTTTAACGTTCAATACTTACTAAAGGGTGAAATTACCACGTTTCTAAAGCAGAGTTCTTAAGAAGGAAAGAGATAGAGACACTGGCATAGCATGAGCTGGGCCCCAGTGGCTTCCTCTGGAGGCAATCTGGGGACTTGGTCTCATCAAAAATGTTGTTTAGTTCCATGAGTCAAGCCCAGCTCCCAGATCTGCAGGGAAATGGGGGAGGGGGTGGAAAAACCACAAGCCAGTCCTATTGGTTACACACTTAATATTTGTTTATAGATGAGGGCTACCCCCTGAATGAACTTCGCTAGGATATTTTAAGTCTATCTTTGAAGATAATTTAGTGCCAGGATGGAAACTTACATTCAATTTGTTGATTTCACAGCAATACGCATACATCATCCATCCGCACTCCAAGCCAGACCTCCCCTGGTCCCCCCTTCCTCTCCCCCTCTGTGAGGCATACTTGATGAGGCAATAACTTTATAATGTATCAAATTGCAAGCAGATGTCTGACTCAAATGTCAGAACAGTATAGCAGAGTGGGAGGCAGTATATCATAGTGGTTAAGAGCTCAGACCTGAGTTTCAGACAAGCCTGTATTCCTGTCCTGGCTCTACCATTTAGCTGAGAGTCCTAGATGAGTGGCTCTACCTTGCTGAGCCTGTTTTGTCAGCTTGAAAATAGGAGTAATAATGGCAGCTGTCTCAGACAGCGCGTTAGGAGGATTGCCCACAGTGTGTGGCGCATAGTGACTGTTTGATACACGTTGCCTGTAAAACAAACAGTTCAGAGCTTATAATGGCCAAAGGAAATCAACAATTCCTTCCGGTATTGTGTTTTTCATGCCTACCCATTTCTCTCCCAGATAATGCTGACAATAAAAACTGTGGGATTCAACTCCAGATGGACAACTACATTGAGATGGAATTAACACACAGGAGGTAGAGTGGGAGTGGTCCCATAATTGACTTCCCTGAGGGAAGGTTAGCTGCTTTCTATCTTTCAGTTAGAGGGTGGGAGGCTGGTGAAGAATTACCTGGATTCAGAATTGATTGGCACAGCATCTTTACAGAGCATTCTTTTGGTTTGTTTAGAGATGACCAGGTATTGCCAGTCTAGAGAAGGCTCAAACTCCTTGAAAAGGACAGTTTTAATCCCTAGTTCCATCAAATGTAGAGTGACTATGTAATTTATCATTCATTTCAAGCGTGAAAGGGGTTGCTGTGAATAGTTATTTCGGGATGAAAGATCTAACAGGGACCATCCCAGGCAAGCCAGGATGGGGATTGCCATAGTCAAACCTCGTCCTATACCAGCTGGAAGAGAGCCAGCACGAATCAATAAGATACTTGGAGGGTAAGAGACCCCCTCTTTTGTCCCCACCGAAGAAGTATAGTCATTTTGCGTGGCATTAATTAATTCTCTGTTAATTTCTTAGTCCACAAAAGTTTGTACCCAAGAAGTTTAGGCTCAAAGTGGAAAACCTAGTGTTTGAGGCCAGCTCAAATGGTAATAATAATATCGACAAGCAGTCGTTGAGGACTTCATGAACATGTAGAAATCACTGGAAATTAGCCTATCAATTGTTTGTGGGTCCATGAGTGTTTGTAAAGGGCTAGAAAGGCAGCCCTCTTAAATGAAAACAGCGTTCCCTTTAAAATTCTTTTGGCAAGCTATTAATTTTCTTTGAGAATCTTTTCTATGCAGAATAGTCCAGAAGCAGACTTCAGCCTAGTCCCTGTCCAAAGTGTCATAAATTCCAAACTATTGGAGATTTTACTGCATAAAGGGAAAGATGGCCAAATTGTGAGGCAGGAAAAATGCCTTTGAACCATTTAATTCAAGACTTCCCTTTGTGCCAAGGGATCAGTTAGCACATTGGTGCTGACTCTGTGCCCGGGAGCAGAGTGAGGGGCTGTTGGGAGGTGATTTCCTGACATCCTGTGGCTGAAAACCAGTGTCCTGAGGGTCATGGAGAATGCTTACCCTGGCAATGAATGAGTATGTTTCTCTGGGAAGCGAGTATTATTGTTCTGGTCAAACCTTTCTCCTTCTGAAAGGTGAAATTTGTTGAATGGTGTACAGGAGTCAGTGGAGGGGGGGTGTCATTTCTGACACTGCTCTTTTCATTTGGCAACTGTCCTATCTTAGAGACCTGGGCTGCAGTAGATGTTGGATACATTCATCGAATGAGTACACATCGTGCAAATCCAGCATCAGAATAGTTCTCTCCCGGCCTCACCCCCAATCCTGACATGGAGATTCTGATCAATGCAACCCGGGAGACACACATACTGCAAATGGATTTGACTCTCGCTGGTCTCACAGTGAAGCTCTCTAGATATAGATGTCTGTCTGGTTGGGTGAGTAGACATGTTGGCAGGAAGTGTGGGGCAGGAAGTCAGACTAAATGCCACCTGGAAGTGCTTTCCAGGCCTATGTGAGTCTCCATTGACTCCACCCTGACTCTAGGCCACCAAAAAGGGGGAACCTCCCTAAAAGCCAACTCTTATAATGAGGAAAGAGGCCAGGGTCGTGTGCCTTCTGCTCCATGAGCACCTCAGGCATGCCTCCGGGCCGCAATCAATTTTAAAAACATCCTTTCTTCCAGAGTGGCTGGATTTGCCTTCCTGTGAGGTGGAGGAATTGGCAGGAGTTTCACAAAACCAGAGTTCTTTGTTAGTTGTAAGACTTTCTCTGAGGTGTGAGAGAAGATTTCTGAGGTGGAGGAAGTAGAATGGTTAACAGCCTGGGCTCTGAAGTCAGATCTAGCCAGGCTGAAATCCTGCTGGGCGGCTTCCTAGCTTTGGAATCTTCCAGTTGCTTCACCTCTCGGTGCCTCAGTTTCCCCAC